TAATATATATATATATATATATATATATATATATATATATATATATATATATATATATATATATATATATATATATAGTAGATATGAGATCAGTAATTGTCAATACCATACCTCGGCTGATTAAATATATCCGACATATTGTTTCTCGTATTCATTCATTTGTCTATAAGCTGAACATCTCTTCCATTAGTATTTTGCTGTATACAATTGTTGTTTTTGAACTCTGATCATTGTACTTTCCATTTGAAGTATCCCTGTATGTACAGATTGTCGGGTTTTGGTGAGTACCATAGCCGTGCTATTAGGCCCTGTTATATACGTGTTTAAGTATATATTCATAGTTAAGTTCATTTCGATATACCTGCATGGAAGTACTGAAAGTGTAGCCAGATGGACCTTTCATGAATTCTACGACGTATGTTAGTTACATCAATGGTTACATACGCGTTACGTAAATATTTTATAGAATTTACGTACACGTATGAACGCACATTAATTTCGTGCGCATCCACGGAATATCTGTGTTTTTTTATGAATGTTCTTGACGACGGTTCGTGTGCGTATTAACACAGCATATATCGTTTCAGTTCATGTGGTATTATTGCGCAATATAACTGTGATAAGTCTAATCCAAGAACAAAGTCGCTAAATGTACATTCAAAATGTGGAACAGTCACTAAATGTACATTCACCCATTTTGTCGATGAAACCGAACTGAAATATTGATCAAATATGTACAAATATACATTTAGCGACAATTTCATTTTTTTTATGTACATTTAGTGACTTTAGAAAACGTACCCGTAAATCTGTATGTACATTTAGTGACTTTCCCAGGGCCATGTACATTTAGAGTATTTCCTCCTAATCCAATATAATGCATACTTTGATCGGACTTTAAGATTGCTGTCATTAGTTAATCTATCCTGTAATCACATAATGGAATACAGAAAACACGCAGATTTTGGTGTTACTTCTCTTTGTGTGGATATTTTCTTCTTCCATGCTTTCATTTTAGGGCATTAATGAAGCATATTTCTGAATGTATCAGCGGATTCGAATTCGTCGTTGACTCTCGCTTCATACTCTACGGAAAAGATGCTCTAGAACTGACATACCCTGTTAGATATCACTAGTAGATGACTTTCCTTGTCACATACGTGCTTTCGATGTTCAGTTTTCGACAGTAATCAGTTTGAGTTAAGTTGAACCAGCTATGTTTATCCCATTTAAGGTGTATCGTTTTCCCACTCAAAGTGTATCTTTTACCCATTTTATAGTGTACCATCTGGAATATTATGTCACTGCAGATTGAAGCGGTCTGTCTGAAGCTATATATTATCTTACAAATACGATATACTTTACACATATTATGCGACCATGCTATGAAGTATATGTAGTCTTTCGGGGATCTGGGTGTGCTAGAAGTGAGCCATTGTATATTACCAGGGTAGCATACCAGATCCATGAGTACCATCTCTGCGTAAAGTATTCTCAGTGTGTGTAACTATCACTAACATGTACCTTCTATTGAGCCAAAAAAAGATTGAGCCAAAAAAAGAAGGCGGCGAAATACGAAAAGTCATTCCAGCTTGGCAGAATATCAGTAGCATCGCAGTCGATAGCAACTGTAAAATGGTTGATTAATGGATTATACAAGAACCTTGGTAGTTATATCAAGATATTGCAAAGTTGAGACTCGTGCGCTCACCTGGTCGTTCCATCTGAGCCACCAACTTTTGCATAATTACGTGGTAGATAATGACGCATATTGCTAGCAAAGGAGTCAAAATCAAATCCCCCCCCATGTCCGCGGCAGTAGAGCTACCCAGCTTGGGTTTATGAAAAGCACATTGAAATAAGCTTTGTATTAGGGTCGCTGTAAACTGGCCACTAGCAATGGTTCTGGGTATAGTAAATTTGAGGCCCAAGTCAGACATGGTCCATGCGGACAGGAGCCCGAGAGAACATGTCAGCTATAATATTATTCGCTCGGTTTATGTCTGGTATCCAGCGTTTGGAGTCATATCTTCTGCACAATACGAAGAAGGCGGTCCCCACAGTTAGTCGGAGATTGGAAAAAAATGCAGGATATTCCCATAATCCGCACTAAAAACCCCATCTGAATATGGGGGTTTAAATTATCAATACTCTGTACCCATAGGTAATGGCTATGTTTTGCAAGTCATATTTGTGTGGCACCAGCGCTGTGTAGAATTCAGCTTTGTGCAGCGGTAAGCAAAAGAAAGAAGTCTGTCGACACCGTAACTATCGATGCGGGGGTCTACGACAGTTCTAGGGACGAAGGAAGCAATCTTAATACACGCGGTTCCGTTCTCAATGGTTTTCAGCCTATGTATCCCAAGTACGCTTGTGAGGTGTAGGTGACAAATTAGCTAATATTGTTGGCGTATAAAACACTGAGCACTAAACGCTATATCCGCCCAAGTAACCATGGAGTGCCATATCCGTATATGGGATTTTATTTATATTCATTTTCTCCTTGTTCATCCCATACGCAATGATTTGCAAGTCTTCTGTGCGTGGTACAGGTTTATGTGTAGAGGGCAGCAAAAGAAAAGTCTGTCGAAACCGCAACTATTAGTGCGGGGGTCTACGACAGATTTGGGGTCTCTGTCGAAATTCGTGGAGCATGAAAGTTGGACAAATACACTCGGTCTAGTTCTCAATGTTTTCCGGCACGATACTGTACAATAAAACAAATTGGCCCTTTTATGGTATATTTCGATCGCGCAGATTGTGCATAACTTGCCGTACCGTCGTACATACTGCGCAATTGTATATGAAATAAGCGGCAGCATGTCTGAGATTGAAAGTTGTGAGCGCAGACAATTTTTATTATTGTGTCCAGAATGATGATAGACCTTGGCACATGCATTTGTAAGGTCAGCTAAATACAGGGGAACGAGCCAAACTCAATCGCACCTAGCAAGCTACTCCTTAGAGATAACGTCACGCTAAATACCATCGTGCCGTCAGGATTTGTAAAGATCAGACGCCCCCTTGCGAGAGATTTCGTTACTTCTTTAGCCCGTGCGTAGAACAATTCAATATCTGTACCTGTTGTGACTGACAAGTTATTTCACGTCTTGTATGTGCTCGCGTTGTGCATAGTACATCTCTAATCACTTGGTGCCTAATATTGATGATTTCACAAAGCAGCGACAGCAGGGACCCTTCTCAAAGCAGTCAGGCCGTGCCAAATCAACAGATTAATCATCGGAACGGTTTAGCAGGTACACATTCAAGCCGATGGATAATAAAGTCGCCAGTGCCCCCAAGGCGAGAAGAATTGTCGACCAATCCTGTTGAAGAAGGCCAGTCCCACCTGATTTGGACGAAAGTGACAAGAATCAATGGAAACTGAGCGGAAATTTGTATTGGTTAAAAGCGTCAATAATGCAGACATACCACATACAAATTGTGCTCGCTGTTTTTTTAACCAAAAAGAAAGGCCGTCGAAAAGAACGAGGAACAACGTGCGGCAAGCTTGATAAAGATCTCGTAGCTCATGTAACAGGAAATGTATATCATTCCCCAAGAAATTGTTTGTGGGTGTAACGTATGCCTATAAATATATATACAAACTCAGCAGCTCAAATTACCATTGTCTGCCGATGACTTATCGTGACCGTCATCGTTTCCACTATCCTTACTTCCCCCGCTGAGCAGTTGTTTCAAAACACTTAACCATTCAATGTATGTTGTCTTAACTCCATTTTTGCTGCCTGGTCGAAGAAAGGTAAAGAAAATGCTACAAATCGGCAAGTTGATATCAATACGCACTGTATATGTCAGAAAAAGCATCTTCCGAAGATATTGTCTTGCAGTGTCGGGTTGAGCATTTCACGAAAATGGCCTCTTCAATAGACGAATTCGTACATACCATTTTCCACAGCCTTCTTCATGAAACCTATATTTTTCAACCAATTGCACTGCGAACTAACTCGCAAAGTAGAGGATGTATCATCAATACGAGACACCGCAAGCTGAACGACGATAGTGAATGACGTCCCTGTCGTTGCGGTCAACATTATTAGTACTATACAAAATCGGTTGACTTTGCTAAAAAAATGATCTGCAACGAAGGGGCCGACTGGACTAATCATGGAGAGATAATGTCTTACCGAATGGGACATCCGGGGTAACGGATGAAATATTCAGGACAAATCCTCCGGGTTCATCTACTGTGAGCATCTGAGTTTCAGTAGCCTACGATGCGCCACATACGATACAGTAAAAATATATTAGATATAAAAGCTCCCTGGACTTAAAAAAATGCATGAGATGATAGTACCACAGGAATAATTGGCACACAAGAACAGCTACACGAGGTGAATCTTGCATAAGGCACTCAACTCACCGTGTTAGCTTTGACAATTGAAGTGGCAGGCATCGTATATGCGACATCTCGTGTCATTTTACCGTCCTGTAAGTGATTGGGTTGATAGATGGTCAGTTATGTTCAAACCAACATGTAGACATGCATCTCACCGACCGCAAAAACAAACAGGTTTACCTCTTTCTCGACCCATGACCCTATCGACAGATCCGTATACTTGCGAAAGTCCGCATATTTGGTAAAAAAAATACTTTCTGAAAAACAATCAAGTGGCGAGGGCCAGTGAAATTAGTGAGTGAGTGACCCTTGGCACAATGCATGGACTATAACCATAAGTAGAACTGACGAGTGAAAAAAAACAGCAAGTTCCAATCAAAATAACGCTTACAACTCACTCTCATCAGTAATAATGAGCTCCTTCAGTTTCGAAGCGCTACAGGGCATAGTTTCATCCAGGATAATATTCGCAAGTGGCTCTGGTATATCAATTGGAACTGCCTGTAAATGTAAAACAAATAGATGAAACAGAAATATTGTATACATGCAAATATGTCCGTGCCAACATGTGTTTGTGTTAATCACAGCCATATTTAAATGGAAATATGAAAACACGAACAAACACACACAAACACATACATATGTCAGATATATCTATTATCACAGACACAGAGACAATTATATATATGTATTCATGTATACACACACACACACACACACACAC